TATGGAAAATAATGACCTTTATCACAATATGCTAATTTTTTGAGAAGGACCTGTATATCAACATAAAATATAAAACAAATTTATAAATATGTTTTAAATGTAAATTTGACCACAAACATGCACATTAGTGATGTTAAAATGGGTCAGTGCGTCCTTTTATTGGCTAGCTGTTAGCCTAGCCTGGATGGAAACTGCTTGTTTCTCGGTGCTCTATGACTGTAGGTACTACAACTATTGTTTGACAGAGCATCGCTTCAAAAATCATCAGATTAATCCTTGTTTTTTACCAACAGGTTTAAAAGTACAAGAATTTAGACAAGTGTCAAGTTTATCTTATCATTTGTTTTCAGAATGAGACTAAGCCGGTGAAGATGATGTACCAGAAATCTAAGTTCCCCTTGACCTTCATCTCTGAAGCCAACTGCCAGGTAAGTCGACTAATCCAGTGTTTCCTGGTGGTTTGGGTTTTACCACTTTGCTTGCCACTGATGTATACGTAGGGCTGAAGACCAGCAGCATGTCAGCATATTTGAAGGTTGTTTAGTTAAAATGCTCCGTTTGACAGATCCTGGAGATGCCTTACAAAGGGAAGGAGCTCAGCATGCTCATCTTTCTCCCCAATACAGTGGAGGACGGTACAACCGGTCTGGAGAAGGTAGGACCTCTATTTGCACACCTAACTGGACCTGCAGGAGGGGTACTAAGCACTGACTGGTTTCGTGTCTCCGCCCTCAGCTGGAGAAGTTGTTGACGTATGAGAACTTTGCGGAGTGGACTCGTCCAGACATGATGAATGAAGTTGAGGTCCAGGTGGGGCTGCCCCGGTTCAAGCTGGAGGCGAAATACAACTTGAAGAGCGTCCTGGTCAGCATGGGCATGGTGGACGCCTTCGACATGGGGAAGAGCGACTTCTCTGGTAAGCCGTGTCTCAGAACATCTGTTGTAGCTAAATTAAGGACAAATCTGTCGTTAACGTCCTCCTTTTATCTCAGGCATGTCCTCTGCCAACGACCTGTATGTGTCTGAAGTTTACCACAAAGCCTTTGTGGAAGTCAACGAGGAGGGAACAGAGGCTGCTGCAGCCACCGCAGCCGTCATGATGCTGCGCTGCGCCATGATTCCTGCCAGATTTATCGCAGACCACCCCTTCCTCTTCTTCATCCGACACAACCCCTCCAAGAACATCCTCTTTTCTGGCCGTTACTGCGCTCCTCAGTGAGCTGAGAGGTTACCCAGGGATCAATGAAAGGAGAACGACTGGCTGCTGTTCCTGTTCTGTAGCTTTAACACCAGCTTGAGCAAAAAAAAAAAAAGTATTAACAGTTTTCTCAGTGCCTTGCTGAAATGATACAACCGTTTCAACTGACATGTGTTCTGCCTTAATAATAACACCATTTGTCCCCAAGCAGCTCAGACTACAACTATTCTTTGCACTCTTACTGTTACTTTTATTATTTCACATTTCAGCTGAACCATACGGAGTAATATTATAAACGTAGTGGCTGTGCAGTTATACTTGTGTGAAAATAAGAAATATCTACTACATAGAGCAAGAATTTACAGGAAGTCAGCGCTTTTACTCATGAAATAAAAGTATGATATGCATTTGTGGTGTTATTATTCAAAAATCATTCAAATACTTTAATATTGGTACATTTTGATTCATAGCACAGTTTGTTGTCAAATATAATGAAGCAAATAGAACGACGATATAGTTTTTATGCCGTTTTGATAAATGTTGATTCAGCAAGACACTTTTATCCAACGATGATTGGGTTTCTTTTTCTCTTCTCATACCAACCTTTCAGAGGATCCTTCAAAAAAAAAAAATACATTGTGATTAAATTTAATCAGCAACTCAAAATAAAAAAGACATTCTAGTGAAGTTTTTTTAATGTGTCATGAAAATTTCAAACAAATAAAAGGAGCTTAATAAAGCAAGAAAGTCCTAATTGTGTAAAACTAAGGGACAATATGACAAACTGCCTCATGAGTTTATAATTCTAACATTGTGAGAGTATTCCATAGTTTTGAGATGGTATTTAAAATAAGTCACAATTTTAAGATCCTGTTTTATATTTATGAATTGAAAACTCATAAAATAGTATCTCATAGTTATAGCTTAAACCAGAGCCCTGTAAAGAGAGAGTTGCGACACTCTTTGAACTCGCCGATACGCGGTCACGTGGTTCATGCAGCTCTCAATAGTTCCAAACAGCTCATCGCTGTCAGTCAGTTTGAGCGGCTGCTGGCGCAACATAACACAAAAATCGACTTTTCTTACTTTACCTGGCGTCTTTCAGTAATTGCTGAGCCGTAACGAACTGATTACTTAACCGATTATTGATTATTTCACAAACTATGCATTTTATCAAAGCATTTTTAGAAGCGGCTGATACATTTATCATTAAATTTTAGAAGGAAACGAGACTGCAAACACATATTTGTTAGAAAAAATAATGTATATGCAATACAATGATCAATATAGCCATGTCAGTGTTTTATAACGTTACACACGATAAAAAAAGATCAGAGTAACTCCTGTTATAAAGCTGTTTCTGATGTTCTCTGCAGGATAATGCTCCACCTAGTCCTCCATGCAGCATCAGATCTGCTCCAGCTTACCTCAGATCATCTGGATGAATTCTTGATTTCTATAGAAGATATTAATTCAACCTTTATTTAAACAGGTTCGTCCCATTGAGCCACGAGGACTCATTTACAAGAGAGACTAAATATAATTGTTCTATTTGTCGTTTTTTTATGGCACCAAGTACCTGATAACTGAGTTGATTGTAGCCTGACAACTATTGTAAAATTGTAATTCATTGATTAAAATGTTAATTTAAATGAAACTGTTTCTAGTTAAAAACATTACAGATGACAAAATAAGTGTTAACTGTGCAAAAATAAATTTCCAAACAATTATAAAATATGTAAAATGTAAAGCAAGCTTTAATAAAGTACTTTTACTACTATTTATACTGTTTATTAATGACATCATCTCAAGTCAGCAGCAGCACCATCATCATCATCATCATCACAACAACACAAAGTGAGAGCTGTAAATTTAATCTGCACAAACATTTTCAATCAGAGCTCAAAATGTTGAACTGTCAAAGAAATGTGCAAGAAAATAAACTAATGTCACTACAGGCACATTTAGAGAGAGGACAGTTCACAGAGACACAGTGAGGACGAGTGAGACTGAAGGAGGTTCAACCAGTTGTTCATGGACCAGAACCAAATGAGAAGAACAGCAGAACTTCCACTGACCAGTGATCTGACCAGTGATCACACATGTTGTTCTAAATTAAACTTTGGTACGAACAGTGTTAAATAAGACATGTCATATTTTTTATTGAACAATAATCTTCATTCTAACAGTGACGTTGTAATTTCAGAGACTGAGGAAGAAACAGAAATGAGGCGAGTGAGATGAGGGAAAGATGAAAATGTGTCCTCAGAGGACGGGGACATGTCAGGATCTGATGATCCAGGATCAACAGGGCCAGGATGGATCAACAGGACCAGGAGGATGGATCAACAGGACCAGGAGG